AATATGTGAGTGTAGCTGGACAGAGCTGGGTGTAAGGAAAGATGAGCTGCACTGTTGATGCCCTGGGAGAAGGGATCTCAGGCTTCATCAGTCCACCCCTGCGTGCGCTTTTCAGATCCTCTCGACAGCGTCCTGACTGTCTTGTCAGAACACATCTGAATCAACTAAAGAAATGTCCTGGGTCTGCCAAGTGTATTTACCAAAACATGGGTGACTGGAAAGGGAAGGAAGGCCTGGTGTTGCGCTGTGGACATTGCCAACACCACGGCTGTTCCCCGCTCTACTGCGAGCTTGCACTTTCTTACCCTAAAGATATTCCTGATTTCTAAATATATAATTTCCTCATTATTTATTCCCACTTGTAATAGCAAGCATATACGTAAAGTCTATGCTGGAGAGAACTTTTGAGCCAAGCCTGCCTAGGAGGGCTAAGGAAAGGAGCAGCCCCCCTCTCCATGTTCCCAGACTCCACTGAGCCACACAGCTTCCTTTTTCAGTGTGATAATTGGAGCAGGTGTGTCTGGGTTGTCCGCGTGTATTGTCACTAATGCTCAGTAAGTGCCATTTGGACTGCTTAGATCTATTTCAGAACGATAAACCAGCATTTAATTTAAAATCGCTTCCTAGCCTATAACTTAGTAACATTTAAATTGCAAGTTCTCATGACATCACAATATTAATTCTTCTCATGAAGTATACTGAATTATTTTCATGAACAGATCTGGAAGCATGAGTGGCAGCCTAAGGTCTTACCCGTATGCTAGCTGGGTCTCCTACACACTTGAGTTGCCATGGGAGCCTGACTGTCTAGGATGGACACCGCTGCAGCCTCTTGGCTTTGCATTTGAGTTATGTGCCTATAAAATTTGGCCAAACTATTTAGTTATTTTATCCAAACTTGAAATCCAAGTGATCTAATATTGTACTTAAGAGAATGTAAAGTCCTTTAGATACTTCTAAGAATTTGAAGTCAAGCATGAATCTAAGATTATTTTTATATGACTAATCAAAGATTAGTGTTATCAAGTTGTTGGGGTTTGGGGATTTTCAAGGGTAGAGAAGTTTATGACTCATACCTACTTCACAGAAACAGCTCGATTTTTCTAGAGTTAGCCTGGACTTGTGTGTCAGTGAGTCTAGCTACCTGGTCCCCCTCCCGCATCTCCCTCTCGGAAAGTGCCATGTGCGGTAGCCTTTTTGCTCATGGTATCAAACTGTGGTGGAGTATGTGGAAACATACTGGAACTCTACTAATCCTGTTATGATCGTGTACAGAATCATGTAACTTACGACTTGGCCAGAGCTTTAGCAACATGGTGAAGGTTCACTGTGGACGACCGGAACAGACCGCCATCCACGGTCTCAGTGTTGTAGTTTTATAGTAAACAGCACCGGGAAACTTTTTGTATTAAAAACTCAGTGGCAGTGAGAACGTAACTGGTAAGTTAAGATTTTAAGAATGGTATTAAATGTTTTAAAGTTACTCTCTGGGAATTCTGTATATCACACTAATTTTTTATATCATGTTAATAAAAGCTATTGACTTTGTAATTCTGCATTTTGAAATGTGTGAAAGGGTTTTTAAAACTTTCCCCAAATAGGATGTATTTTATTATGCATTATTTCTTTCAGAAATACAAAAACAATTATGCATATCATATAAAATCTGGAAAACACATTAAAGCGTAAGAAAGGAAATTTAAAATCTTCTACACTCCTACTGATGAAGTAATAGCAGTCTTGGTATTGCCATGAATCTCAGGGATTTTTAACCTTTAATTTTTTTTTCTTCACAAAATTAGGACCATATACTTATTTTATAATCTGCTTTTGTACTTAATAAATTGCAGACTTTTGAATCTGTCACATACATTCTTTACATGTCTTAATGACGACCTTGTGTGGTGTGCACGATTGCACGCAGCATTTCCTGGGCTGCTGTACCGGCACCACTCCTCCCTGATGCCGCCTGGCCTCAGTTCTACTGGCAGCGTGGGTAGGTCAGAGTTTGTGGTGGGTGTGGTCTTTGGATACATGATCCCCAGCAGGGCCATATAGGAGAGATCACTGTCTGCTCCCAGCCGCTTCGCAGTGCAGTACTGGTTACCCCTCTAACACTGTCACTGTCCAGGGGAATGGCCTCAGTTCACGCCTCTCTCCTGCTGTGCTGTTCTTGGCTGCCTTTGAGGTTAAAGACTAGAGCTTCCTCCCTGAACTGTTCCCTGCTCAGCTTTGCCTCAGGCTGCTTTGAGAGGATCTCAGGACCCCTGCAGAGATCTGGCCACATTAGAGAATCTCCTCAGAGAAGGTCAGGCTGGAGAGTGCAGCTTCTCAGCATGGTTGACTCAGGTGCTGCTGTGAGTGTGAACCACTGATCAGCAGAGGACAGACTTCCCCTAATCCCAACAAATAAAAGTGTCATTTATGGGTAGGTGATATATAGTTTGGGGGCCTGCACTGACATGAAATTCATGCCCAACTCTAGTCATATGGGCAGTAGCCTCCTAGAAGGTTCTTGAAGAGAAAGCAGTTAACCACATCTTCTTTCTAGAGGGCTTCAGAAGGCTTGGATAAGCAGATGCCCCTGACCATGTGGGAAGTGTAGTGTGAACACTGTACCATGTGACTGGGCTGGGATAAAGGGTCATCAGGAGTCCTGTGGATTGCTCCTGGTCTTCTGCTTGGGAGCTCAGGTGTCCCAAAGTACTGCTATGTGCCCCTGCAGTCCAGCTCAGTTCAGTGCCAGTTTTCTGCTTCTGGTCTACAGTGCTGCCCTGTCCACTTGGTGTCTCCGAAGGCTCACATGTTAGAACACATGATCTCCCGTGCTCTCCTGTGCTCGGTATCTCTGCAGGTTCACGTGTTAGAACACATGGTCTCCCGTGCTCTCCTATGTCTGTTCACTCAGAGTCTCCGCAGGCTCACGTGTTAGAACACATGGTCTCCCATGCTCTCCTGTGTCCACTCAGTGTCTTCACAGGCTCACGTGTTAGAACACATGGTCTCCTGTGCTCTCCCGTGTCCACTCAGTGTCTCCGTAGGTTCATGTGTTAGAACACATGGTCTCCTGTGTCCACTCAGTGTCTCCGCAGGCTCATGTGTTAGAACACATGGTCTCCCGTGCTCTCCCGTGTCAACTTGGTGTCTCCGCAGGTTCATGTGTTAGAATACATGGTCTCCTATGTCCACTCAGTGTCTCTGCAGGTTCATGTGTTAGGACACATGGTCTCCCGTGCTGTCCTATGTCCACTAAGTGTCTCTGCAGGTCCGTGTATTAGAACACACGGACTCCAGGAGGCGAGGTTAACTCGAAAGAGCAGGTTTCTGGGGTGTACCTTGGAAGGCATACCTTGTCTCCTATCCTTTCCACTCTCCTTCCTGTCTCCCATGGTGTGAGCTCCTCGGCCATGCCCTTCCTTCCACAATGAAACCTCTAAAAGCATAAACTAAATAAATCTTTATCCCTTCTAAGTTGCACCAAACGTTCTGTCACGGTGGCAAGAAAGCTAACATATAGCCCAGCCAGTCCAGAAAATTGCCTGCTGAGCCTCATGTTAGCCTCCAGGCAGAAAGTCTGAGTCCGTGCAGCCTTTGAACATTCCAGAGCTTTCTGCGGCCCTAGCTGCCTTTCACCTAACTTTGGGCTGTACCTGAGGGATGGGGTGAGGTCTGGACCACTTTAGGGACTTTTAGTCTTTGTCCTGGTCTGGTGTGTACTTTATTTTTATTTTTTGTTTAGTGGTGGAAATTTTTTACATTGTTCTTATTTTATGCAAGTACATTGTTCAGTTGACTTAATGAATTTTTAAGTACCTAGAAAAGGGGTGGGTAAGAAAAATTAGAATTTTCCTAGAATAGATTTTTAATATTTATGATGTGATTTTTCTTTAATTGCAACTTGAATTATTTGAACCTTCATTATTTGAATATCTAGGTTAAAAAGCATAATGTTCAGCTTCCTGCCATTCTTGACTCAGCCTCACCAAGTGGCAAGCAGGCCCTAGGCACAGCAGATCAGCCATGACTTCCAGCCACTGCACTGAAGGGCACATTTGAGGAACCCTTCATTCCCCCAGTGACTCACCCTGCAGACTTCAAACTCATGGTCACCTGCTTTATAGACAGTAGAGGGAGCCGGGGAGATAGAACTAGCTGGAAAAAGACCTTACACTGTAGATGGGCTTTTCTTTGGGCCCCCAGCTCACAAAAAAATGTGGATGAAGGCTTATTATTAATTATTAAAGTTCAGCCAATAGCATAGACTTGTTCCTAACTAGTTTTCATAATTTAAATTAACCCATATCTTTTAATCTGTGTTTCTTTATGTAGCTTTGTTACCTTTATTCTGTATTCCCCATTATGCTTCCTCTCCTTCCAGCCGAAGACTCTACCCTTCTTCTTCCCAGCATTTTCTTAGCCCTGAAAATCCTGCCTAGCTATTGGCTGTTCAGCTTTTTATTAAACCAATCAGAGTGACACATCTTCACAGTGTACAAAAAGATTATTCCACAACATTTCCCCCTTTTTGTCTAAATAAGAAGGAAAGGTATTTTTTTTAACTGTAACACAGTAAAACTGTATACAATAAGAACATATTCCTCAGCTCACACGAGAGACTTTGGGACTAGGAAGCAGCATTTGGCTCAGTTTGAAACCTTTTTTTTTTTTTAAGTTTTCTCAGTTCTTATATATGAAAGTCTATAAGAAAATGCAAGCCCCATGTTGGACACCCTTTGTAGATGGATTTTTCTTTGGGCCACCAGCTCACAAAAAAAAAATGACACAGAGACTTATTATTAGTCATGAAAGCTTGGCCGGTAGCGTAGGCTTATTCGTAACTAGTTCTTATAACTTAAATTGACCCCTGTCTTCTAATCTACATTCTTTTCTGTGGCTAGGTTACCTTTACTCTGTGCTCTGCATCCTGCTTCCTGTCCTTGGCTGCTGACCCTCCCCCTCTTCTTCCCAGCATTCTCTCTGCTGTGAAAATCCTGCCTAGCTATTGGCCATTCAGCTTTTTATTAAACCAGTCAGAGTGACACATCTTCACAGTGTACAAAAAGATGATTCCCCAACATTACACTATGGCCATGCTCCTCCGTACATGTCCTACAGGAATAACAGTGTCATCCTAAAAGAAGTCTACTGAATAGAATTTTGATCCTCAGTCTCGAGTCAGAATGTTAATACTTAGTTTGTGAGACCTATTTTTTTCCAGTTAGAACTGTTGACATTAAATATTTACTTAGCAACGGCTGCTCACTGAAAGTAGAGGCTTAAGTGGCCTTGCTCATTTGGGCTGGGGGAGGGTGTTGTGATCAGACTGTCCGCTTTCTTGGGCATCGTTGGCACAAACAGGGTAAGGGAGACGTTAAGGAAAAGCAGCCTCTTCCAGTGACAGTGGCTCCAGCTGTGGAGTCTCGGGTCTTTCGGAAGCATTAGCAATGCTGTCCTATAGAACTGCGCTTGGTGGCCTGCCTTGCTTCTTCTGGGTCCTGCTTCTACAGGGGCCTGGCGGTCTGCAACACATGCTTTACTGCTGAGCATTGATTTTTGGGACCAGACAGCTCCCAGGAATGCCTAACGTAGCAGAAATAACGATGTGCTAATTTAAAGCAGCTTTGGGAAGGCTTTCTGTTTTCTTTCCCAGAGCAAATCAAGCTTCCTAATTAGTTACATGTGGCTGGAGAGCTCAGCTCCTTCGAGCCTGCAAGCCTTCGCTCTGCTTCCTCTTGTGACCTTCATGTCTGCCACAGGAACAGCGTGGTTCCTTTTCTGCCTCACTCATGTTCAAAGAACTCGTGGCAGGCTGTAGTCACCATGGAGACGAAGGCCATAAATTCCTGGAAGTCACACTCTCCATCTCCATCTTCATCCAGTGTTTCCATGACTTTGTCCACGACTTCTTGTTCTTTGATTTCCTGAGAGAGAGAAAAAAGAAAAGCTGATTAAGTCCTTTTTAGATGTGATATAGGGCTATCAAAATGTTATTAAACGTACTAGGCTGATAATTTGCTTCAGAAAACAATCCCTGTGTAGGAAATGAGACATTCTAGCAGTCGTCGGTGAGCCAAGGACAGTCAGCCAGAGGGAAGTGGGGAGGGTCGGTCTCTGTCCTCTTCCCTCTGGTCTAGTGGGACCGGGGTTCCTTTAAACTAGGGAACCAGTCAAGAAGAAACAGACGGCACTGGAACACGTACGTGTGCAGTCCGTCTCACCCGGAGCCAGGGAACTCAGTGCTCCTGAGCTTGCAGGCGTTTGGGAGCCGTGCGGATTTGAGCATTCGCTGAAATAACCCCTGGGGATGCGTCAGGGCTGCTAGTTGTCCTGTCCTGTCGTCTTGAGCTATTTCCTAAGTGTCATAGGCTTTCTTCTGACAGTTCTGACACCAAAACCTGATGTATGGTAAGGCTATCAACTGATGCCCAAACCAGAAGAAACCGTGAGGCTGCCGATGCATCAGGAGTGCAGCCCTGAAGACGGGTGGGAAGAGTGCTGGCTCTGAGCACTGAAGATCCTCAGTTCTGTTTCAGTGAGCAACCCCCACCCCTTCCCCCTACCCCGGGAGAAGAGCTCTGAGGAGAAGTCAAGGGCTTCCCTGAGTTCCAAAGATTCAGGTGTAAAAGATGGTGATTCCCGGCGGCTCACGAGAACTTTGAAATATCTTCCAAAACATATATGGCTCAGTATAGTTCTTCCAGTTATACCATAGGTGCTATGATATTGATGCTACGTGCTCTCCAGAGGCTCCTGTGTAGGAGACTTGGTGCCAGTCCATGTCACCACAGGGAGACGGTAGAACCTTTGGGAGGAAGTGATCACTAGGCCGTGTCCTTCCTTTCTTTGTTTCCCTCTTTTGTGTGGGCAGCTTTGCTCCTCACCATGGTGGTCACCGTCATCCGAGGCTCCCAGAAAGGAGCCTGAGCACCAGGGGCTGACACCCTGACCTGACATAAGCCTTCCCTCCTTTGAGCTGATTATCTCTAGTACTTTTGTTCAGCCAAGCCAGCAAACATGCAGGATACCTTTATATCTTAACATACACTATCATTAATAAATGTGATGTGACATTTTTCGGTCCTAAAATCATGGTAGCAGTGAGTGTTCTGTAGAGCTTTGGTTCAATGGGAAGAGCCTGGCCTGCTCATCTCATGACTATATACTTGCCCTTAAAGATGAAGAGCTAAGACTCTGGTTAAGTCCAAAGGTAGAATGGGTGTGACTATAACTGATTATGCATGTGGAGTAGCTGTCACCCCGGAGATCTGAATGCCTGAGAAATCAATCCCCCTAAGTGGGGACTTCTCCAGCAAGCACGCTCGCCTGCTACCTCCACAGCAATGAAATAACTGGCTGAACTGGAGGAAGGGAAACTCTAGCCAGACATCCAGCCACAGTATCAATATGGACCAGTTAACTTGGGTGTGACTTCCTATTACCGTATGACAGGGCTGTGTCCTAGAGTTATTATATCGAGGCGTGGCACTTGATCGAACACTGATCAGTTTTCCTCTGTGTGGTTTGCTACTTCTATGACCCAGGGAGCTTCCTGTGGTCAGATACATCGTATACCACCAGTATGTCCACCTTTTCTCAAGATATGCCATGAGCCAGCCTTTGTTTAGGGGACCAAGGGAGCATGGGGTGGCAGATGGATTACAGTTTACTTCCACGGGAGCTCTTGGCTCATGGGCAGTAGAAACACTAGCACCTGATTCAAGGGCCGAGGAGACAGTAGGGAGTGAATGCTTCCACCACCAGAATATTAAGTACCTGGAGAAGAACAGGGCTTGCCAGGAGCCCTTGTGCCACTTCCTAAGTGGGCTCCAAACTAAACTTGTGCCTGGTCAAAATCACATGTTTAAGGAGCCCCCTCCTTCCCTCAGTCAAGTGTTCACTCATGGATACGCTAGGCTGGGTGCTTGGTGGACCTGTGTCTCTCAAGTATTGAATTATTGAATGCTCAGTAAATGTTTATTTACCATCTGACATTTCTTACCTCTGCAGTCGATACCAGACAGCTGGACAAAACCAAAAGATTTCTTTCCCCCCAAACATCTCATGCTTTAAAAAAGTGTGTGTGTGGGGCTGGAGAGATGGCTCAGTGGTTAAGAGCATTGCCTGCTCTTCCAAAGGTCCTGAGTTCAATTCCCAGCATCCACATGGTGGCTCACAACCATCTGTAATGAGGTCTGGTGCCCTCTTCTGGCCTGCAGGCATACACACAGACAGAAAATTGTATACATAATAAATAAATAAATAAATAAATATATATTTTTTAAAAAAAGTGTGTGTGTGTGTGTGCGCGCACGTGCGTGCACACGTGCATACATACTCTCAGCTGTGGATCCCAGGGTTCAAACTCAGATCATCAGGCCTGGTGGCAGGTGCGTTTACCTGCTAAACCATCTCACTGGCGCAGTTCTGCTTCCGGGTGGAGAGGCGTTATCCTTGCATAGCTGAGCCTGGCCTCCTGCTTTCACTCTAAGTACTAGGACTGCAGATGTGCACCCCCATGACCAGCTGGCAGTTCTTACGTGTTAGTGCCGTCACCACCAGCGGACCCTTCTATTCAAGGGACAGAAACAGCCCATCTAAACGTATCCGTGGAGGGCTTAGCTGTCTGAACAAGCTTCCAGAAGCAATCGGGACATCCAGAGACGGAAGCCATCTGAGAACCGTTTCTAGTGCAGCTCAGCGATACTTCTGTAAGGCTTACCTCCAGGAAGTGGGAGAGCTCGTTGTTGATGAGCTCCTTGAGCTCTGATTTCTTCAGCTTGTGCCTGTCGCCCTCTCGCCCGGAATACTGATGGAAGATGTCAATGAGGGCCACCATGGCCTTCTCCAGCTCAGACATCCTGGAGGCTGCAGACGAAAGGCAGACACCTTTTCCTGGTTTCCACCCTGTTCTTTGCAGACCTCAGCCCAAATGAGGGGTGGAGAAGTCTGGCCAGGAGAGGCATTCTGCAACTCCACAATGACCATAGACCATTCTCTGCCTTCTAGGCCCCCACCTCCCTGCTGTGTCCCCGTGGGCCACAGGGTTAAGTTTCCAAGACGATTGGCTTCTGGTTGGGTTATGTCAATGAGGAACCAGCAAAGGTGCTGATGCAGAACGCCAGGGGATGATTCCAGCTTTCCCTGGTGGCCACCCCAATCCTGAAACTCACCATTAGCTGGTGGATTTGAGGAGCACACTAAGATGACAAGCAGCTAGTAAATATAAAAAGTCAACATCAACAAACAGTCTTTAAATGCAGTAAACAGTATCCTCATTTAGCAATAATGTCTGGGGTTAGGTGCTTCCAGAAGAGTCTGCGGAACAAGAACAGGAGCATCCTGGCTAGTTTTATATCAGCTTGACACGAGCTGAAGTCCTATCTGAGAGGAGGGAACCCCAACTGAGAACATGTTCCGTAAGACAGACAAATGCTCAGCTGTAGAGCATTTGTCTTAAGTAGCGGTCGATTGGGAAGGGCCCAGCCCGTTGTGGGTGGTTCCATCCGGAGGCTGGTGGTCCTGGGTTCTGTAAGAAAGCAGGCTGAGCAAGCCAGTAAGCAGCTTTCCTCCATGGCCTCTGCATCCGTTCCTGCCTCCAGGTTCCTGCCCTGCTTGAGTTCCTGTCCTGACTTCCTGTAATGATGACCTGTGATGCAGAAGCTGAGTAAACCCTTTCCTCCCCAGCTCGCTTTTCTGTCATGGTGTTTTATCACGGCAATAGAAACCTAACTAAGATAAGGAGCTTATTTTAATTTGAATTAATATACAAATTTAAGCTGTTTAAATAAAGATTATGAGTGAGATTTTTTTTTGGGGGGGGATAGGTGACAAACATTAAAACTGTAAAATTCATCTGGAAAATAATTGTAACACTGCACTGTTCTGAAAGACAGCAGTGAAATGACCTTCCAGAAACATTAGTCCAAGGTCATCTGATTCTGCTGGTGTCCTATCACCGGGAAACCAAGGCACCCACAGCCAGGCGTTCCATGCCTATTCATTAGCCTGGCCTCACACAGGGGCTTCTTTGTGAGCAGGAATGCCAGCGAGGAGCAAACAGCCTTCGCAGTGGGCACCTGATGCACAGCCAGCGCCTGAAGAGACTGGGGGTGCATGCCGGGAGGGCCGCTCAGTTCTCAGAGTGACTCAGTTAACAAAGGCAGCCTGTGGCTCCGTTCAGAAAATAGCCACTTGGGCAGAGACACGTGATAGCTCTTGGCCTTGAGTTGTGATCCTTAAAGCAGAACCTGCACTGTCATAATTAAAAACAAGCAACAACAAAATGGTTGAAATATCAGTCCCATGTTGAGTATTTTACATTTTAGAATAAAACTTTGTTAACTTTTTAAATTTTTTATTAATGATCTCCCAAAGGAAATGGATTGAAGGTTTTTACCTTGTCTACTCTTTGGTTTGTTAAAGTTCTACAAAGTAAAGGTACTTTGTTTTGTTCATAAATCCCAGACACCTGGAGGACCTCATATAAGCAGAACTATCCAGAGGGACAGAAGTATAATATTTCATTCTCTTTTGGTTTTGTCACTTGAGTTTGCAGTTATTGTTTTTTAGTTAAAAAAATGTACATGAATGGGTGCGAGCCTGCATGCTTGTCTCTAGTGTATACATGCCTGGTGCCTGCAGAGACTGGAAGAGGGTGTCATAGCCCCTGGAACTAGAATTACTGGCGGTTGTGAGCTGCGTATGGATCTCTCCAGCCCCAGCTACAGGTTTTTTGTTTGTTTGCTTTTATAAAAGAAAATTAGTTTAGTTCCTGTAAAGAACGGTGAGAAAGGCAGGCAGAGAATTGCTGTTTTGTTGTTGTTTGTTTTTTTGTTTTGTTTTGTTTTGAGACAGGGTTTCTCTGTAGCTTTGGAGCCTGTCCTGGAACTAGCTCTTGTAGACCAGGCTGGCCTCGAACTCACGGAGATCCACCTGCCTCTGTTTCTCTGTAGCTTTGAAGTCTGTCCTGGAACTAGCTCTTGTAGACCAGGCTGGCCTCGAACTCACGGAGATCCACCTGCCTCTGTTTCACGAGCGCAGGGATTAAAGGCGTGCACCACCACCCAGCTTGCTTTTTTTTTTTTTTTAAGATTAAGATAAGGTTTCACTGATCCCAGGCTCTTTTCTAAGTCATGGTCTTCTTGCCTCTGATCCCTGACCGTTGGCCCGTACCCAGCACAGTTACTGATTTAAAAAAAATATAAATTTCGAGAAACTTTGTATCATGCTTGACACTTCTCAAAGTCTTGGCTGTGGGAGGAAAGGGTTAAAGCGTATTTTTGGATGGGGACTAGAAATTAAAAAGAAAAGGCATTACACATATCCCATATGCTAGAAACATCCATCAGATTCAATTGTTTTCATAACCACATTACAAATTCCCGCTGTTCTTCCTTTCATCTAAAGAAGCATTGGCTTGTAGTCGGCCTTCTAAGACAGATGAAGCAATGCCCCTGTGAACATTCTGCATTAGTCTTTTGTAAGGAAAGCAGAGGACTTGTGCTTCTGGGGAAAATGCTGCCTGTAAGATAAGAAGGCCCTCACAGAGACTGTCCCTCGGCAGGTGATAATGGAAACCAGAGCCCATTCCTAACCCCTGTTTCTTTATCCCAATTCATAATTATCTGAAAAGATTCAACTCTTTTTTTTTTTTTTGTGGTGTCTGGAGATGTAGGAGCTTGGCATTTCAAATAGAGAAACTAGAAAAGCCTGCAGGGGTGCTTCAGGGTCACGGGAAAAGCGGCTGCGAGGAAGGGGGAGCTCTAGCTGAGGATTGGGGTAACCATGCACCAGGAGAGAAAAAGACTTGCCTTTGGAGTTAGAAAAGAGGCAATATATGTCATTCTAAATGGCGTTAGGTTTCCCTGTCCTAATGAAAATAAAACTGCAGACTATCAATACCAACAGCAGTCATAAGAAAATGGTAGTCAGGCTTAAGTCACAGAATGTCATCGGCAAGTTTGAAATGCTGCCAAATGTTCCCAAAGAGCTCCCCCCCCCATCCTATCCCCTCCACCCCTCACCTTCCCAGGAAAGAAGAAAAAGAGCGGTTTTTCTTGAGTCCTCTGTCAGTGGCTCTGTCTCACCTCCTGGTCACCTTTTGCTGCTGGTGTCCGCTCTGGCTTCGGTGTCTGAGTGGCAGGAGTGTAGACAGAGCCGCTTCTTATTCCTCTTCCAGAGAGGACTGGGTGTGGGCTTGGCGCAGTCCACTGCAGGCTGAGGCTGCCAATGGGGGCCAAGGGTAGGGAGGTGCTGGACAGCCAGCCTGCATACAGGGCCCCATTGACTGCGCACCCTGGGGATTCACTGGGCAGTCACAATGATACGATCTAGAGAGAAAATGGGCCTGTCGGGCAGGAAGCGTGGAGTCAGCTTTTCTGGGGTCTTTTAAAAGTATTATCACATGAATATTGATGGGACCCAAAAGGCAAGGATGGGGTGTGGAAAGAGGAGTGAGACAGAATGAATTGATTTTTTTTTTTTTTTCAAACAAGCAGAGGTGCAGCCAAGAACTGGAAGCTTCTAGTGCTGGGTGCAGGAGACTGTGTGCTCATGGCTGGCTTCCAAGGAGCCTTGAGCATCTTGCCTACCTACCTGCCAGCTTCCTGGCCCCCTCTCGCAGATATGACATGTGGTGGATGTTGGTGCTGGATAGTGGTTATGCCTGGGCTTCTCTGAACCCAGTGTGTTCAACAACCAGGATGCAGTAAATCGGTTACTGTTGCACCTCAGGAAAAGTCCTTGTTAAGAGTGGAGATGTGCCAAGTCTGTTTTAGGTCTCTCTCTTTAGCCTGGTAAAAGGTTATGCGTTATCTGAGCCAGAAATGCTTTAAAAAAATAGCTTGTCCAATGCTCTTTTAACATTGGGGGGATGCTGTGTCCCTCATCAAGGCGCGAATGAACCCAGAAAGCACTCTGTGCTCCCTTTGCCCATCTTAGCAACACCACGCCCCAGCTTCCAACAGAATCAAGTGTGGGCTGGTGCTCAGAATGAGTAGTCCTTTTGACAAATCATGTGAAAGCATTGGTCCAGTCTCACTAAGCAAGCAGAGCATAGCCAAGTCACATGTCCCCTTGTTCCTCACATTCAGAGTAGCTGAGGGAGGAGCTACATGGCAGAAGTTACCCAAACATCACAGACACCAAGAGGTTGACAAGACATGTTAGGTATAGAATAAAGTTTTCCCACCAAGGAGTACAACCTTTTCTTGAGGAAAGCGGGTATGGTCCTTAAAAAAAAAAAAGGCCCTCAAAGGGAGTGGCCTTGTTGGAGGAAGTGTGTCACTCTGGAGGCAGACTTTGAAGTCTCATGTGTTCAAACTAAGTCCAGTGTGGGACACAGTTCACTTCCAGTTACCTGAGGTCCAGATATAGAACTCTCAGCTCCTTCTCCAGCACCACGTCTGCCTGCATGCCACCATGTCCCACCATGATGACAATGGACTAAATGTCTGAAACTGTAAGCCAATCTCAGTTAAATGTCTTCCTTAATAAGAGGTGCCGTGGTCATGTTGTCTCTTCACAGCAATTGAAGTCCTAACTAAGACAGCAGGCAGGGCCTCAGCTCTGGGGTAAAGGTATAAACCCCTGCTCTGGTTCCTCCCTATTACAGGGATCAAATTGCCATTTACCTATGTGAGAGCAAAGCCACTGGTTCCCAAAGATTGGGTCCCCTATTTTTCTTTTCCCAACAGAAAATAAACAGCTATGATAATCATGACTGGGAAGACTCCTCATCCCACGAGGTTGCTCAGGGCACCAGAGGACCAGGGTATCTCTAAGCCCTCTATGGCCACTTTCAGTCACTTAAACCAGCTCTAAGTAGGGTTCTTCAAATCCATGTGTGTGCGCGTGCACGTGCGTGTGTGTGTGTGTGTGTGTGTGTGTGTGTGTGTTGTCTTCACATCCCAGACAAGCCCCCACAAATGTTACAGGAATATTGGGTGAGGGGTCCTCATCTCTGGGTACCATGGAATTGACAAAGAGTTCTACATCCTGGGCAGTTGGAGAGTGACATTACCACTGACAATATGGCAGCCAGAGACCTTCCTGTTACACCTTAAGTATAGACTACTGACATGCCAGGTGGCTCCCCACTATCCCAGAGTCTTCAACTTGGCTTGGCCATTGCTTTTGATATGACCTACTCAAACTGTTCTCTGTCCACTCCTGCTCACCCATCTAGACCCGCCGTCCATCTGTCTGCTGGTTTATCTGGACCTATTGCTGCCCTGTTGCCATGGCAGCCAGACTCAGGACTGTACAACAGCAGTGGCTGTGCCTCTCCGCAGACCCCCAGCTGGTTTGCTATCTCACCCCCCTCCATTTCTTCCAGTTTCCCAGCTTTAGCATTCTAACTTCTTAGGCCTCTTTGGGACTTCTTTAACCTTTTGTTAGCATTCTGTATCATACATAAAGATATATTTATCTATGATACAATTATATATAAATGTATGTATATGTGAATATATATTTTTGGTGCAATATGGAATCTGTGATCTGACAGTTAATATTCAGTAATTTGTAATAATTAGTAAGTAAGACTGAGGAGAACGAGAGTTTCCAACAAGTTGCTGCCAGTGAAAATTTGGCATTGTGGGAAGACACTGAGAGGTCTTAGATTTGGGGTTCAGGGGATGCTGAGGCAGATTCTCCTTTTGAGTAAGAGACTTATTAGAATATTTGCTAATACTATAGACAAGAGTTTTATTAGAACAATTATTAATGTTATAGACAGGAGATTTATTAGAGTAGTTACTAATAATGTAGATAAGAGATTAGAAGAGTTATTGACATTATTGACAGACAACAGCATAGCAGGGCCTCAGAAGAGAGGTCAGACCTATAAGGCAGAGTGGGGTCCCTTATAGATTTCAGAGGAAGGGAGGTTTCATGCCATATAGTTGATGACCATAACACAAGCATGTGGACAGATTCTCGGTGGTGGGGCTGGGTGTGTGTGTCCTGAATCCTGGAGAAGGGGATGTATGGCTCTAAGGATGTGGGGGAGGAGAGGAACATTTAGATGGGTACCCAGAGGGCTGTGCTGTGATGCCACTGATAGCTCTTCTGATGTTTTAAAGTCTGGTAATCTGTACGTGTTCTTTGAAATGAGAGTTAGGACACCAGCGTATCTCTTGGAATCTGGGGAACTGGGGAATCTACCAGAGGGTTAGAGATTCACAGACAGAAAGAGACTGGCCCCAAATCTAACAGACAAACACATTCCCCTGTGTTTTGGAGCACTGTGTTCTTACAATGGTCCCTTGAGGTTTGGTCTCACAGGCATTTCCACAGTGAACTTCAGGGGATCATTGGTGATGGTTCAGGCTTCCTTGTCCTGGCTGCCTAACCTTGCACTAAGAAGCCTCTGCACAAATAACCTGTCATTTTCTGCAATGCCTGTCCTTCCGGTTTAGAGATGACAGCATGTTCCGGAACCTCACTTCTCTGGTGGGTCTGGAGGAGCTGTGGTTTCTGATGGTTCTGCTTCTCCCTTCCATGGCTAGAGAAAAGACTCCGGGGCTCTCGTGTGGCAGGCCTGAAGCCAGGAGTGAAGCTGCACATTGAGTATATAAAGTCCCCAAACGTGTATCATAAAATGTTGCAAACACAAAGAGCCCATTTGTAAAGGAAATGTATACTTTCATCGAAATAAAATGCCAAAGAGGCCAAGTGCCAACCAGGAGCTCCTGGTCCAGCCAAACTCACCGTGGGTGGGTGTTGGCCAAGAAGTGGGGAAGTGACGGGCGTGCAGTCACTGGAGAGCATGACTGTCTCACAGCAGAGTCATCCCGCGATGCTCATGGATGGTTGAGAACGGACTCACGTTCAGTCTGTGGCATCTGAGGATGTCTGGGAGTTAGTGATGAAGGTTCAAATCCCGCTTTGTTTTACAACATGTCTGGATACCAGAGGAATCCATGTGACCTCCGATTGAGTAGTGAGGCCATGCTAGCCCAGGGAATTGGGGGAGGTGACTCTCAGGCACCCGGACTATAGGTGCCTGTCATGTTGGAAAAGGGATTCTTCCTCTTGGGTCAGCGTTTCTCCATCCAGGTGATTGACTTGGGTCAGCAGGCAGCTTTCTTTGGTACCCAGAGCTTCTGCCACCTTTGCCATCATTATTTCCGGTGTGTCAGAGCTTCCCTCCCTCCCTCCCGCCCCACTATTACACATTCAGTGGGCTGCTGCCTCTGAGCAGTCGGAGGAAGAGGTTGGCCAGGCTTGCTATTTGCAGGAGGAAAGGCAGCATTGTTTCTCAGACAAAGGACCCGCCACCAAGTTGCTCAGGAGGCCGCTTACAATGCCTCACGAAGATGGAGGAGAATGAGGATCTGTGTTCTGGAGGAAGTAGGTGAAAGACAAAAGCGGCTGTGTGCAGAACAGCCAACACAAGAATCAACCGCCTTCCTACCCCACAGGAAGCCACTGCCCAGCCTGGGAGCCACAGCAGCGTTGAGACAGGCTCAAATTTCTCATGCCTCCACTCTGGTTTGTTTGAATAGTGTGTGGCTTTACACATGCTCACGTAGTGACCCGGATATCCCCGGTGCTCTCAGTTGATGGTCACTGATATTACGAAAGTTATATCATGTTTGTCAGAAGAACCTGGGACTTGGTTCAAGAACCAAGCAAACTCCTCGGTTGGAGAAAGCAAAGAGCTATAAATAACAGTGATGCTCTTCTGAGCCAGAGACACTAGGATCCATCACGCAAGGCAAATCATTGGCCCAATTGGAGTGTCTTGAGTCCAGGCGTCCCCCTGTTTGGTAAATTTTGTTATAGAATGTAAGTGTTTCCACATGTATCACGTTTTATTATTTTATACCACACCAAATTCCATCCAAACATTTGTTTTCATTCGGAAGTCAGTAAAACCTTCCAGAAGAGTGAGCCCAGTGAGAAGCTTGGAGCAGAAAGCAGGGCCCTGCCATGTCTTTGCTCCGGACCCACAGGGCCAGGAAAACAAAAGGACCCAGTGCAAAGACAGCAGGATCATTGTTTTTGTGTTTGCGTTTGCACTCTCGAAGTTTGGGGACAAGCTGGACGTGGGAGTGTGGGGCACAGCCACGTGAAGCTGCCGTGTGAGCGATCGCTGTGTCCTATGTACTTGGTGCTCCAGAAGTTTCTGAGTGTGCGAGAACTATGGGAACGATCCT